CAGTATTTAGTTGAACTTAATTCCTCCGATCATGAAGTAATTAAAACAAGTTGAAAACTGGTGGGAGTGTCTTTACTAAGGAGTTAATTTGCATTTAATATTGTTTTATTAAAAAACAGCTTACAAATATGTGCTGCCCGGAACTAAATACACACATAAAAACCTACTACGAAAAGACAGTAATTTGACAAGTGGGCAATTCAATCTCACACCATATGAGCTTTTCGGGTGCATTTCGCTAGGGAAGGAACAAAATGTGTGTACAAAAAGGTTTAACGTCAAATGTTAGACCCCCCAGCAATCGCTAATCCTCAAGGGCTGATTCCCGTCGTTTCATTGAGCTGACTATTTGCTCTCACTTTGGTCTCGTTTATGGCATTCGTTTATATCCCACACCCGTCTCACGCTGATTGAGTCTAACAGCCGTGTCCTTTAGTTTCAACGGTTGTCATTAAACTTCCCGACCACGAATTATGGGGTAAATCTATTTGAAAATTACAGACTTTGTGTATGCAGATAATCACAATGTTACGTAATGAAACGCCAAATGTCAATGCCTTTTATACTAAAGGAAGCAGATTTTTTTCGAATTTGGAAGCTTGTAACTTTCGCATCGGACGATGTTATTTTCCCAGGTCAGTTAATAAAAACTCATTGTGATTACAGAAAGCAAACCTGAAGCCGGAATCTTTGTCAGGACTCAGGAGGCTCGAATTAGTGAGTGGAGCAAGATTCAGGAAGCTACTTGCACGTTTAAGAAATTTTCATATATTCGAATATTTTCCGCAGTATGAGAAAATTTGGAAAAAAGAAGTGCTCAAATCGACCTGAAATTTTGGTCAACATTCAATTCGACACAGCTGAACTCATTTCTGCAATCAGTTTGTTGGAATTTTTCACCGTTCGACCAAAATTCTGCTTTTTTGTATCTGATTTTTTTTTTTTGAATTTGAGAGCTCGTAACGATCGAACGAATAAAGTCTCGTAACCCCGGTAAACGGTTTCGATTTCTCAGACTATTCTGGTCGGATTGGTTAATTTTCGAGTTTAGGGACTTGATCCGTTAGGGAGCAGGAAGACATTTAGCAGACGAGGTCAGCTAATAAAAACTTATTGCGATTACAGAGAGAAAATCCGAAGCCGGAATCTTTGTCAGCAGGTTCGAATTAGTGAGTCGAGCAACACTAGCGTGTTTAAGAAATTTTCATAATACGAATATTTTACGAATGAACTGCAGGATGAAAAATTTGGACAAAATAAAAGTGCTCAGATCGACCTGAAGTTTTAGCCAAAGGTCAATTCGACACAGCTGAGTTCATTTCTGCAATCAGTTTGTTGGAATTTTCCACCGCTTGACCAGAATTCTACTTTTTTCGTATCTCAAAAAATTGTTTGCGAATTTGAGAGCTGGTAACTTTCGAACCGATAGAGTCTCGTAACTCCGGTAAACGGGGTTCGATTTCTCAGACTTTTTCGGTCACATTAATTAATTTTCAGCCCCGAGACTCGATCTGTTAGGGAGCAGGGTAGGCATTTATCGGACGATGTCATTTTTCCCAAAGCTAGCACATGTCAGCTAATAAAAACTTACTGCGATTACAGAGAGCAAATCTGAAGCCGGAATCTTTGTCAGGAGGTTCGAATTAGTGAATGGAGCTAGTTTCAGGAAACTACGTTTAAAAAATTTCACAGAATGAAACAAATTTGGAAAAAATATAAATGCTCAGATCGACCTAAAATTTTGGTTTGGTTCATTGGACACAACGCTGACAACTAAATTCTTCCCGATAGTGAAGACCATGAGGTCGAAAATTCCTGGAATTTGGCGCAGGTAGACAGCGAGTTGTAGTAGAGTTCGTCCGGCGTTTACGATCTTGTTCTCTTTTTTGCAGCTGCTTTGTTTTAGTTTGAGGCGTTGCAGAAAATCGTTGTTCCAGACGTAATTTTCGTTTTGAATTTGAATTTTTTACGTCAATTCTTTGATAATAGAGTGATAAGTTTACATTCAGTTCCTGAGTATCCCCCAAGGTCACCAGATTTAACCCCTCTGGATTACTTCTTGTTCGGTCATCAAAAAAGATTGTTTTTAAAACTCCCATACACACCATAGAACTGAAAGACAGAATTACCGAAGAGTGTGCTCGCATTACTCCTGCTACACTACAAAATGTGTTTGATAACATGAAAAGACGTGTTAATTTATGTAGGTATACAGGAAAATGGATACCATTTTCTACAGTCCCTTTAACTCTATTTTCGCCTTTTAAGTAAACTTATTTACAAATCTGCAGAAGTTATTTTCTTTCACTATTTTTTCTAGTTTTCAACAAGCAAGAAATAACCTTCGTTTGTAAAGTATGCGAAACCGAAAAGAAGAGAAGAACATCGCACAACATTCTTTGATCTAAATAATTAATGAACACACGGTACAACGGTGGTTTTGGCACGCTGTAGGAGAGGGAAGGACTTTTCCAGACTACTAAGTTTCAGTTTCGTAATCAGGTTGCAAGTTATTATGGAAGAATTTGATTATTATTTAGTGTATATCATTTATTAATTTAAATTTAAATTATAATTTATATTTATTCAGATTCATAAGTAATTACTTAAGGAATTAATTTTAATTAATTAGTTTTGATTATTGTAAACTTATTTTTGTTAATAGGAGTTTTTCCGTCAATAAATCAAATCAAATCAAATCAGATACTGAAAATGATTGAATAACGACTAGAAGCTAGAATTTCAAATTAAAGAAAAACAACTGAATGTCTACTACTACTACTACTTACTAGGAGTAAGTGATGATATTGCTAGAAGAGAAAAAATGCTTTACAGTCTGCCTATATACGGTTTAAGTAACTGTAATCCCTCCACTGTAGGCGAAAAATCCGAAACTGCTAATAAGATATTATGTTATGTTATCCATGGCTTGAATACCAGATACACAATTCCCAACTATCTCAATTTCCTTCTAGAGCATCGCAAAATTACCCATTGGGGGCGTTGTTGCACGATCGGAGTTTGGGGCTCCCGATTGTGGCTGTTCCCCTACCCATGGGGGAGAAGCCGACAACGTCACGTCATCTCGACTCCCCTGACTCCTATTCAAGGCCTACATCCTTTGTGCAGATGGAGCGATAAAACCCGCTAGCTCGACTAGGAACCGCGCCCTCCACTTCTGCCAAGTGCTTCTGTGTTATTTACCTCAATTCCATTTTAAATGTTCAATTTGTATGACTGATATTAAACTACAGCTGAAGCAGTGTCAAAGTTTCAAAGAGCAATAAACAACATTTAAATTCGCCATACACTTTTGACTTTTGTGAAATCTTAAACAACAAAGAATTCTTATCTGAGATTAAGATTGTACATCAGACAATCTGGAGGTTCAAAATGGCGTCGGACGAGTGCGTCGTTCCAAAAAATCTAACTTAAAGGAATAAAATGCACGTCCCACATCACCCAAAATGTTAATTTGTTTCACAAGATTTTACAATTCAAACATGTGCTCGGTTTGAAAATACGCTTTTAACATGGCCGCTACCAGAACGAAGAATTTACCTGATGTTAAATTATCCCACACTTTATCAACGATTCAAACAAAGAATTTACATTATGTTAAATGAAGCCTTGATCCAAGTGATTGGTTACTTAAAACAATTGGCTTTGAGAGTTTATATCGTGGACTATCCCCAGCTCATCCCGAACAAAATACATGATAATTAAACAACACAAAATGTATCAGGCTTTCCGAGAAAAGCTTGTCGGTGATGTAATTTTTCAACGTTGCGAGAAAATGTCTCGGTGATGTGACGATATCATGATAATAACTGCCTAAAAGGAAAAATTGATAATCCCGCCTTGCATCAGTGCAATTCTACCGTCTTTTTCCGGAGTGGGGCAAGGTTAGATTAGTTTAACTGCCGTAAATGAACTATTAGCAATCTTGTGTGAGGAATTAAGAAGTGTTATAATGTAACTTGACTAAGTGAATTTCATAAAATCTCCTAGCAAGTGCTTATCTAACAAATTCCTGACTGTTAAATTGTGTTAGAACCAGTTAATGATTAAAATCTTAACATGAACTGTGAATTTACAAACAATGAATCAAATTTACACGTGTTAGCGTCGTTAGTTCACCTATTTCCGTTTGGAAAATCGCAAGAATTAGCTACGCGTGGTGGGGAAACTGTGACGTCGTCGTCGTTACGATTAATTGTCGTTAAACAAACCAATCCAACTAAACTTAACCTAGCTAACTCACCATGTGGTTTCCACTCACAACAACAAACCAAGAGTGACCCTCTCACCACTATCTACAAAGCAGGAATCCCTCTCACTACCAACCCTCTAAGTAAAATTCCCTAGCAGAACTACCCACTACCAGAAAAAGAACTAAACGTGCACATGGTTGCCTATGTTTAACGATTTTCTTGATTGATTTTTTTTTTCAAATTCAAATTATTCAAATGCGATTTCGCGCCGCTATTAATTTTTTTAGCGCGAAATTTTAATTAAAATCTGGTCACCACACAATGCAAATCTTTTCAAAATTCTTTGTAGTGGTTCACTTAAAAATTCGTTTTCTTACCTTTTTTTGACTCCAATGTCCATATTTTTGAGTTTCGATTTTTGTCATGCCTGGAGAAATACAAAAAAATTATCTTTGGACCACAAAATGAATTCCAGCTTTGGTATTATTTCATAGGAATACCTACGAAAGTTACTTACTGTTCAAAAAATCAACCTCTCAAACTAGGAAGAAGTTTAATGAAAAACCATTTGCAACCAACATATTTAAAAAAAAAATGAATGTTTTAAGGCAAGTTGAGCTATTTCAACTAGTTGTTCGTTAAAAATTTTACACAAAAATAAACATTCTACATTTCAAAGTGTTGACGGTTCAGTTAAAAATATACGAGCTCTTCCAGCTCTTCCGTGAAAGTGGTTGTTCCAGTGCCGTACTCGAAAGTATTTTCGGGATACTGGACATAAGACACAATTTAAAAATAAAATTTACTTGAGTTTTTAAGTTGCAATAAATATTTTAGCTTTTATTCCATAGTTAACGGTACCACCTTTAATCTTGTGTTGTTGTCCGACCGCTCCCGATGTGGTAAATGGGTGTCTTATTTTACAGTTTGGGACACGGAATTTCAAACGACAACTTTCTGACATTTAAAAAAAAACATTGTAGTCTTATATGTACCTTATTGTCATTATGATTGACAGGTCGTTTGAAATTCCATGTCCCAAACTGTACATCTCTAGTAAAATAACATGATTCACAGCGGTATCGACATCTATTATCAATTATCGGAAGGATTCAAAACTAAAGTTTGAAATATAAACTGAACAAAAACATCGTTCTACTCCACCACCGTCAATTATTTAGTGTATTTTACTTTTATTTTTACAGTAAATACAATCAAGTTGCATCTTGTTTTAAAACAAAAACATGATAGTTCAAACTGTTTTTTAGAATCCAGAATCCACTACCCTCTCTAAGCAGACGTACAATCTTTACTATTGCTGTTGCATTGTTATACTCTTAAATTTATTACTATCTACAAATAGTAAAAAGTGTTACAGCCAGGTGATTGTTATATGAACTGTTGAACTTCAAGAGATATCATATGCTAAATATATCAAACAATTGTTAAAAAATCCAAGTCGCAACCTTATCGTTATGATTAAATCCACGAATGAAATGTTTTGGAGTCACAGTTTTAAATTTAAATGTGTTCGTCCATTTTTGGTCAACTCGAAATCACGTAATAACATTCTGTAAAGTCTAACAGTTCATTGCAGTTCTATAAGATAAACGTAATAAATAAACATCTAGTTGCCTATTATTTACAATTTTTCTAATAAAAAAAAATTTAAAATACTCAAAAACAAAGCATGAAGTATTAATATAAATATACATAGAAAAACCATACTCATCAATGTTTCATGCTACAATCAAAATAAGCTAGGCCTAATTTATATTTTCTTTTTGATCTGAAATGCTTTAGTGGCTATTTTGTCAAAAGTATCATCATTGTTTATTCATAAGATTCGTCTGGTGCGAAAATTCTTATACTTTGAAAAAAGAAATTAAATTTTGCAAAAGTTTACACCGCATGCATATTGCTTCCATTAACTTGCTGCATGTCGATTACTTCCCTTTGTATCAACTCTTCCTTGCTTTCATATCCTTGGAATAAATTTGAAAAAATACCAGCCTGTAACAACATAAAAGAATAAAACACTGTTTCTTACTTTCGGATGTTCATATACAGCGTCAACACCTCACGATCACTTCAAAAGTAAACATTAACTTCTGACGTAACAAAAAATAACAGTTATAGGTATTGGAATTGTTAAACAGACATTTTATACTAATTTATCAAGGGTTTTACTTTAAACAAATTCATTTGCCATGTAATATTATTAATCTATTGATATTCTATACGATTCCGCTGTATCAAAATTTGATATTTCTAAACAAAATTCATTGCCAAATATACGTTCAAAAGTCCATGTATTAAGACGATTCAATGGTGGGTATGTCGTTAAAATGAAATAATAAAAGAACACTTACTGTAACACAGGCAGTGACTGTACCAATTGCTAGGCCACTTAGAACGTCGCTCCAGTGATGTTTGTAATCTGATATGCGTGTCATAGCAACAAAAATTGCTGCCAAAACGGCCAAGAACTGTAATGTGTGCTTGAGCAGTTTAGACCCATCCCAATCCATTCTTTTCTGTAGATAAATGGCAAAGTATAACATGGTGTACATGGAAAACGATGAGTGTCCAGAAGGAAACGATAATCTAAAGAGTAAAAATAAGTAATCGTAGCGATTTATCTGGTATTCTTAATTAATTTTAATGTTGTTGGTGAATTTGATATATTATATTTTATGAGATGAAAAAGGCGTTGTATTATTTACCTCATTTCCTTCATAATCCTTAGATCATTCTTATATTTACTATTTGTACAATTAAACTCTACATGATACTCATGTTTTGCTGAAGAGCAATCAACGTCTGGTGAGCAAACCGTTAGAAAATGGGGCCGAAGGCGACCTATCGTGTATTTCATTATGTCTGTTGTCAACTGCGAACATGCCATTCCAAACGCAAATATAAGTATAACATAATAAAAGTTGTAAAACCAAAACGGCACTTCGTAACCAATAAAAAAAACTTTTCTGGTGGTTTGTGGCTGATTTAAAAATTCTATTAACAGCATCTGAAACAAGAAGACGTATGCATTAGCAATTTTAATAATATGAGACGCATCTACACACAACTATTGAAATAAAGGTAATACTGCTACTAAGATTATGGGAAATTTTAAAATTTTCAGAATGAATATTATTAAGTCTGACGATTTGACAAATCGTGTCAAAATCTGTTAAAATGTTACATCACACAGTAAGTTGCTTTGTGTATAAGTTTGCGGCTAATTTAGCGTTTTTACCAAACACTTCCTAGATTAATACCGGTTTAGGAACCTGGGCATTTCTGAAACTTGAAAAAATGCTCCTAATCAAACTAACAGTAACACAATAATGCATACTTAAGTTCATGATATTGGTGAAATTAAATTTTGAATCAAGAAGGAAGCTAGTAATGTATGTTAAGTTGCCTATTAGAAAGATGTAAGTGGGTCAACTGAGGTGAATCAGCCTGTATAAATAGGCGGCGTTAAATATACTACCAGAGAAAGAGGATATGCAACCAACAATACTTCTTTAAAATTGAAATAAAAAATCGAAATGCAACCTTTTTTTTAGTTTTTGTGTCCAATTTAGTGAATCATCATAACGAATGGTTTAATTGTGTGAAAATTTTTACATTCTCACTCACACCCTGTATTTTTATTACTGTATCTAAGTCGAAATACTAAAAAATCCCAAAATTGAAAAATTGAACAATCGAAAAACTGAGAAAACTCACAAAATTGAACGAAATATCCAAAAATTGGGAAATCGAAAAGCCGAAAAATTGCAAACCTAAACAATCTAAAAATTGAAAAATCTGGAGCCTGAAAAATCGAAAAATTGAGGAACTGAAAAACTGAAAAATCGAAACCTTGGCGAAAATGGGAAAATCAAAAAATAGATTAATTGAGAAATCGGAGCTGAAAATTCAGAAACGTCAAAACTTGAGAATTTAAAAAATTGGAAAATTGAAAAATCGAATAATTCAAAAATCGAAAAGCCGAAAAGTAAAAAAACGAAAAACCGATAAATCGAAAAATCGAAACATCGAAAAATTCAAAAACTGAGACAATCAAAACATCGAAACATTCGAATCTCGATAAATCGAGTTCTCAAAAAATTGAAAAATCGAAAAATAAAAAATTCGGAAAAAGAAAAATTAAAATATACAAGAACTGAAAACTCGAAAAATTCAGAAATCGAAATATGTATAAAACAGGGGAAAATTGAAAAATCTAAAGTTTAAAAAACGAAAAACTGAAAATCCAAAAAATAAAAAAAAAACGAGAAGTCGAAAAATAGAAATATTGAAAAATCCCAAAATTGAGAAATTAAAAAAGTAGCCAACCGAAAAATCCAAAAATCAAAGAATTGAAGAACAGAAAAATGCGAATTCGAGAAACGAGACAATAAAAAAATATATTAATTGAAAAATCGGAAAACTGAAAATTTAGCAAGGTCAAAATTTGAAACTTGGAAAACAGAAATACTGAAGAACTGGAAAATCAAAATATCCAGAAAACGAAAAATCTAAAATTTAAAACATTGAACAATTGAAATATCGCAAAATTGAAAAATGGAGAAATCCCAAACATCAAAGAATCAAAAAAGAAAAATTCAAAAATCTAAAACTTAAAAATCGAAAAACTGAAAAATCGACAAATCGAAACTCCAGAATTTAAAAAAATTGTGAAAATCGGATAACTGACAAATCAAAACATCGAAAAATAGAAAAAAACTGAGAAATTGATAAACTGAACAATCAAAACATCCAAACATCTGAATTCGATAAATCCAGAAATAAAAAAAATTGAAAAATTTTAAAAAAGAAAAATGAGAAATCGAAGTATAAAACTGTCGAAAATTTGAAAAATCTTAAGTTTAAAGCAAAATTGAAAATCCAAAAAGTAAAAAAGGCCTGGAAACCCAGAAACTGCAAACTGAAAAATTTTAAAATTGGAAAATCAACGAATTGGAATCGATTGGCCTGAAAATTTGAAAAATTGAATAAACGAAAAATTGGAAAATCGAAAGAAACAATAAAAATTAAGGAAATGAAAAAACAAAAAATTGAAATGTAAAATCGAAAAAGTGAAAATTAAAAAATCGGGAAAATGAAAAATAAAAATCGGAAATAAAAAATTGGAAAAGGGAAAAATTAAAAATTGATGCAAACCGAAAAATTAAAGGAACGAAAAATTGAAAATTTTGGAAGTCGAGAAACTGTAAAATTGGAAAATGAAAAACAAAAAACGAAAAATTAAAAATGAAAACTTGAAAAATCTGAAGAATCGAAAAAGTGAAAAATAAAAAAAAAAAAGAAATATGTCTTATGAATTAGAAATATTGAAAATTGGAAAATCGGAAGACTGGAAATCCAAAAACTGCAAAGTGAAAAATATAAAAATTGAAAAATGGACGAACTGAAAATTCAAAGCTCGAAAATTTGAAAAATTGAACAAATCAAAAATTGTAAAATCGAAAAAAAAAATCACAGAAAATAAAGGAAATGAAAAAACGGATAATTGTGATATAAATCGAGAAAATAAAAATTAAAAATTTGCCACACTGAAAAATAAAAATCGGGAACATGAAAAATTGTGGAAACGAAAAATTAAGAAACTGAAAATTCGAAAAAATGAAGAAACGAAAAATTGAAAAATCGAAAGAAACAACAAGAAATAAAGGAATTGAAAAAATGAAAATTTGTGACATAAAATCCAGAAAATGAAAATAAAAAAAATCGGGAAAATGAAAAATAAAAATTGAGGAAACGAAAAGTTGAAAATGACAAAAATTAAAAACTGAGAATGTGAAAAATCTAAAAATGAGAAATTGTAAATTCGAAAAATTGCAAAATTAAGAAATTGCAACTCGAAAAATTGAAAAATTTAGAAGTCAAGAAACTGTAAAATTGAAAAATCAAAAATAAAAAAACGAAAAAGTATATAATGAAAACTTGTAATGAAAAATGTCAAAAGTGAAAATCAAACATGCAAATTTGAAGAAACGAAAATTTGAAAAATCGAAAGATTAAAAAAAAGAAATATGTATTGTAAAATCAAAATATTGAAAACTAAAGAAATTGAAAAATTGGAAGACTGGAAATCCAAAAACTGCAAATTGAAAAATCTTAAACGTGGAAAATCATGGAATTGAAAAATCAAAGCCTGAAAATTTGAAAAATTAAATAAATAAAAAAATGTAAATCGAAATAAACAACAAAAAAATATCGGAAATAAAGAAACCAAAAATTGTGATATAAAATCGAGAAACGTCGAGAAAACATAAAATTAGTCATTCGCCAGATGGATCTCTTTACTGCGTTATCAGCAAAAAAATCTCTAAATCGAATCTTACAATTATCTGACAAAACTGAATATGTTATACCGGACTTGAAGAGCGAGGAAAGTGCTGTCTAAATAACTTTAGACCAATTTTTATAACTCAACAATTTACATCGAGTATCAAAAATAAAACACCCATAGAATAATTTTGAATGTGTTTTGCTCATTTTTTTTTTAATTCCACCAGTATTTTCTATTTTGACAAAATGACGAAAGAATCCAAACTTGGAAAATTTTAATATAAGAAGGACAAAATATATCTAATAAGGATTGTTAAGAAAAAAAACTATCGTCCTAAGTCAATTTCTCTCGTTTTTACAGGACTTTTCAAATTGGATGCAAACTGTCCCAAACCAGGCCGAGTGCTACCGCCTTAGAGTATTACACGCGCCTATTCAAATTGATTGATTGACTTGCTAAAATGTTGATGACGTCATCAAACAATTTTGATATGTATAGAAAAACTCACTAAAAACATTCGCAACAGGTCATCATAAAAATAATAATATAATCTCAAAGTTAAATGTTATAATTTTTCTAAGCTGCATCTATTCGACTGTACTTTAGGGGTGCAAGAAGTTCTGTCGTAATAACCTTCGACCATTTTTTTTTATTTTTTTGTTTATCATAAAAAAATAAAATGCGCCAAATTGAATCTTACAACTTTTCGACGTATTTGTGCCTGTACTACAGGGGCGAGGAAAATTCCGTCTAGAAACCTTTAGACACAATCATGTTTCTATATTAGCAAAGCGTGCTACATAATAATAGACTACTATTTGACAATAAACTTGCATTAAATATACAAGCAGTGCTGAAAAGGCCCTAAACCTCAGCAGCAGTCCACCTACATTGTAAATATCTTAAACCACAAAATGTACAAGCAGAAAGCTTAAATAAATGTATTAAAATTGAAAAATCATTTAGTAATCATCCACGTTCTATAACATAACAATATACTATTGTATATACAGGATGTTTCTTTTATTTTATACTACCTCTGCAACTTTTTTCTTCTTAAAGATAAACGTGTACTTTTTGAGCAAATTCGTATCATTTTAAAAGATCTACGTAGGTAGAACCGGAAATGACATCAACTTTTTTGTATGGAACCCTGGGTATATTTTTTCATTAATGGAAAGATTGATTTTTGTACAAAATCAAAAGCAACCAATACTGTAAAATCATACTTGAAAACTTATTCAATAAAATTGACGGAAAATTCATATTTATTGATGACATTCTAGCAGCTGGAAATATTGACACTCGTGTCATTTATTCACATAAGAGATATTTTAAAATTATACAAATTTGCTCAAAAAACAAGAAAATAAAGAAGCACAAGATACAATGTAAACTCATAGAAACCATATTAATTTATATACATATATTGGAGAGCTTAGTCCAACTTTGACAGATGTCGCTGATGTCTTTGGTCAACTAAAATCTCTAGATCTAGGGACGATAATTTTGTTAAATCACATACGTGGAACTAGAGGAAATGGAGAATACATCATTAAATTTGTAAAAAATCACTTACACTTTCCATTTCCTTGCAATCACAAAGATTATTTACTTAATTCAATAGTTTGTAAGGTAGCAGATTTAGCTATTTAAACACACCAACGGGGTAAATAGTATTTTAAAAGGTCGAGATAGTAGACAATGTAAATATAAGTGAATTTCTACATATATAGATATTTCACTTTGTTTTAATTATTATAATTTAATACTTACAACAAAACAAAAAATAAACTTTTCACACAAAATGTTTTGAAAATATAGTTCGCTCCAAAATATGCAGATGGCGCGGCATTTTAAATTTCAATGGTTGTCATGAGTTTACATTTATATATGATAGTAAAATAAATGTGTTATTATGTTATCTATGATCTATCGTCATAAGTTGACATTTTTAAAAAAAAATATCAATTATTTATGATCACGAAGCAGAAATTAATCCATTAATCCTGCTACACAAAAGCGAATAATATAAATACCATAAATACATTGCAGGCACAATATTTTCTTATGATAGGCATGTTTCTACAGGCCAAATTTTTATTTAAAAAAAGATTACTTACTACTACAGAGTTCATAATAATTCCAACAATGTACAGGTAAATGCTTGGTACCGTTGATGGATGATATGGATGCATAAGATCCTCATCATTGCAGAAAAATCCTCTTCGAAAGGGGCTGCCCCATAAAAACATGAACAGTATCGGAAAGCCAACTAAAACAAAGAGAAGTTGTTTTTTATCGATCTTATTTTGTAAAAACTGAAGTAAATTTAAGGAGTGTCCTAAAAGTCCATATTATTATAACAGTACGACGTCAGATTAATGTGATGCTCCATTTATGAATAACGCCCACGAACACTTTTAAGAAAACTTTATTTCACTAGTTTACTTGAACAATTAACAATATTTACTTCAAGGGATTATACTCACCACACATTAGTAATATTATATCTAAAACAACTTTTTTTCCAGGTAAAATAATCGACTCATTTTCAGTTGACATGTCTTCTTTCCACACAAATTTACTTGTACCTCAATTTATTCATTTAAAGATTTCATCTTTAACTTTGTTCCTGTGCGATAATTGCATTAAATGTAATACAAATTGCCAGCCACTTTCTTCATTATGAACAATACAGCTTATAAGAACCAGACCAAATTCCTAAAATGTCCAGAGTACACAGACATTTTACTTCGTCTTAAATTTCAAATAATAATTTTATAAACACAATCGGTTGTCCGGCACGTGCATTGTACTTTTAATAACAGAAACTCTTGACAATTACTGGAAAGACCGACCACTGACAGCTCAGAATAACCAAGTGACTGACAGGGTGCAAGTCCACAGGTTTGAACTGCTGACGTATGACGTGAATCATCTAGATTTACAGAATATTCTCACTTTCAGAAATAGGAATCTTCTATGACTAACGTTGAAAAATACATGAGATAATTTTTAACCTGGCATGCGCTTTGGTTGCATAAATACTGTTAGTCGTTTGACTGGTTTGAAAAAAACCTCCAAATATTTACAGAAAATATTAATTAATTACAGTGCAAAATAAAAAAAATACATAGATTAAAATCAATATCTTCGATTAAAATGTAAACATGTCACCAAAGAATGGCACCAACTCCCAATAATTTATAGGTTAGGTTTACTGCTACATAGCACAGTATACACCAGTACCGAAACTTGCGGAACGGGTGTAACTGGTTATAATAGAGATGCAAAAAATTGGTCTAAAGAGTTTAGACAGTACTTCCCTCGCTGTCGGAAACTTGACGACTGCATGCCTATTGTGTTTTTTTTCTCATTACATTTTTGTAGTGGGAATTTAAAAAAAAATTGCGATGACGTCATCAACATTTTTGCAAGGACACGTATATCAGTTGGGATAGATGTAGTGTAATACTAAGAATAAAATTATTATATTCTCAAATTTTCGGGAAAATGAATTGGGTCGTTTTGAATATTGATTTGTAATAATCAATAAAATAACGAAACAATTTACTCGCGTATACGTATCAGAGGCAACTGAAAATCGTGTATGTATAAACATTCTTAATTTAAGATGACAGGCGTAACAGCATACGTGAGAGTCAAACAGAGAAACTGTAAACAAAACGACCATCGGTTTTATTGCTTCGACTTCCGCTTATTATATAAAACATTGGGTTTTATTTTAATTCTTGACGGTGAAATTCACAATTGGTTGATTATAAACATGTCTATTTCACATTCGCGGAACCAAGTGAACGCATAAAACAAATGCAGGTCTGTAATGTTAAAGTCGATGTAAATAAGCGTGCTACCCTTATGTTTCAACCGAGTTTTTCCTTTAACAAATTTTGTGTCTACCAAATTGGGTTGGTTGGGGTGTAATACTAATAATAAGTGATGCCTTTAATTTAATCAATAACATAAATTGACTTCATTAATTTTTTTGAACCACCTCTTAAGAAAATCTAAAAAATATGAATGGAATGATAAATCACAAGTACAAACTCATCATATTTTTTGCATTTTAGATAGGATTTATTCAGCAAAATTTAAGGGTGACATCATCAATTTTTTTAGGAGGGATGAACAAATACATTTTGAACAAAAGTTTACCATGCTTATAATAACTTTAAAATATTCCCAAGATTTCAAAGCATTCGGTTTTGTAATTCCTGATTAAATCGATAAAATAAATTCACGCCTTCATTAATTTTTTTGAGTCACCCTGCATATGCAAATCCAAAAATATGAATGGAATGATAAATCACAAGTACAGACTCATCATATTTTGTACATTTTAGATACGATTTATTCGGCAAACTTTTGAGCTGACGTCATCAGTTTTTTGTAGAAGATAACCAAATATATTTTGACTAAAAATTTATTATGCTCTTTATAACCTTAAAACATCTGCAATATTTCAAAGCATTCGGTTTTGTAGTTCCTGATTAAATCAATAAAATAAATTTACGCATTCATTAATTTTTTTGAGTCACCCTGTATATGCAAATCGAAAAAATTTGAATGGAATGATAAATCACAAGAAGAGACTCACCATATTTTGTACATTTTAGATAGGATTTATTCAACAAAATTTTGTGGTGACGTCATAAATTTTTTAGGGGGGACGACCAAATACGTTTTGATCAAAAATTTACCATGCTTATGATAATTTTAAAATATCTTCAAGATTTCGAAGCATTCGGTTTTGTAGTTCCTGAGTAAATCAGTAAAATAAATTTACGCTTTCATTTATTTTCTTGAATCACCCTGTATATGCAAATCCAAAAAATATGAATGGAGTGAGAGATCACAAGTACAGACTGATCATATTTTGTACATTTTAGATATGATTTATTCGGCAAATTTTCGAGCTGACGTCATCAAGTTTTTGGAGGGGATAAGCAAATATATTTTGACTAAACATTTATTATGGTCTTTATAACCTTAAAACATGTGCAAGATGTCAGAGCATTCCGTTTTGTAGTTCCTGATTAAATCAATAAAATATATTTACGCATTCATTAATTTTTTTGAGTCACCCTGTATATGCAAATCCAAAAAATATGAATGGAGTGATAGATCACAAGTACAGACTCATCATATTTTGTACATTTTAGATATGATTTATTCCACAAACTTTTGAGCTGACGTCATCAAGTTTTTGGAGGGGATAAGCAAATATTTTTTGACTAAAGATTTATGATGCTCTTTATAGCCTTAAAACATCTGCAACATTTCAAAGCATTCTGGTTAGCAGATTAAAAATTAAATTTCAAAATGTTGTTTTATAATTTTGATTTTTTTTCCAAAAATCTGGACGTTTCGGGTGAAAAGTCGATTCAGAGTTGTAAACTACATGTGTAGGACTATGTTATTTTATACAATTGAAAACCCATTTACTATGTACAATTTTGAAGTGACGTCATCGCTTTAGTGGTGGGGATGATTAGACAAATTTTGGTTAGCGTTTTACCATCTACATGATATTCTTAATATAAGTACAAAATTTCACAACAATCGGTCGAGTACTTTCGGAGATTATCTGTCTAATAAAAATCCGGGACGGCAGACGGACAGACGGACGGACAGACGGACAGACAGACGGACGGACAGACGGACAGACGGACAGACGGACAGACAGACGGAAATGGGAGACCTATTTCTTCGTCTTCTAGGGGTCATGAAAGATCGAGAAAACGTAAAAGTAGAGAGTCGGCCGACGGACTCGATTACAATACTTCCTTTGCTTACGCTCGGGAAGTAAAAAAAGGCGTCAAAAATACGTCCCACATGACCCACAATGTTGTTAATTTGTTCAACGAGATTAGCAATTTTGGTGAGGAATTAAGAAGTGTTATAATGTAACACTTAAGTATAAGCTTCCAGAAGCCTTATTCATAACTTAATAAACAAAGGATGAGTCCTGACTAAGTGAATTTCATGAAATCCCCAACAACTGCTTCACCTAAACAAAAACTGTTAAACTGTGTTAGAACAAGTTAACGATTAAAATCCTAACATGAACTGTGCATTTACAAACAATAAAACAAATTTATACCACGTGTTAGCAGCAAGAATTCGGTACGCTTATTGAGGCAAACTGTGGCATCGGGTCGTGGGTACGATTAATTTTCGTTAAACAAAGACTCTCCCTTTTTCTAACTACCAAACCAACTAAACTTAACCTAGCTTCCTTAACGGGTGCTTTACTCGCCAAAAACAAAATAACAGTGACGCCACCGAACAGAATGACGCATTTCAACCTTCTACAAAGCAAGCCAACTTCTACCAACCCTCTCACTAGATACTCCCCCACAAATTCCCCTAGGAGAGCTACCAACTACCCAAAAAGAACTAAACGTACACATGGTTGCCTATGTTTAACGATTTTCTTGACTGAATTTTTTTTTCAAAGTCAAATTATTCAAATTCGATTTTATTATAACTTATAGGGGTTATCATTAAAAAAAAATCGTAAAATTAAATTTTGTAATTTTTAAAAAAATCTGTTACATGTTGGTTCCAGAGTGCATAGTGGTTTCCACGCACCACTCATGTGTCTCATTCAGTGATTGCTAAGGGTTATTTTCTTTCTGTTAAGGGAACCTTTTGTCTAATTTTCCGTTGCTTAACCTGTCCAGTTAAAGCGGTGGCTGCATCAGATGTTTGGTCGGTAATAGTTTTCTTTAAGTATTACATGTGCATTGTCCTTTGACTTCTACACTTATGCGAATTATGCTCTTCAGTCAGGAGGATTTGTTATTGCGATTTTTGGTAGATGGATTTTGTGACCTGTTAGCGATGTATTTACATAAAGCAAATACAAATGCAAAAACTAAAAATATTAATGGGATAACTGATAAAAAAGCCAATAGATACAAAAAAGCCATACACATTAAAATACCAGCTTTATTAGTATAAATAACTGTTGACAAATTTATCTACAACATTTAATCAATATTTTGAACCTTTATCCTCTGGATAAAGAAAATATATTTCAACTTTCCCATTTGAAGTACAAACAAATTCGGTATGTTTTATTAAAAATGTAGCAGCTACTCCATACGCCAAGCAAGGAATACCTAAAATTAATAATTATATTAGAAATAAAACAACTCAAATAAGCTGTTATCCCGTGAAATGTCAAATGTTAAAATTAAACAACTGAATATGAGAAGCATGATATGTTGTTACAATTTTACATACCTTCACTAAACATTTCCTTGTAACATATTGTAATACGATATCATCAAAAGTATTTACTTACCTAGATTGATCACTTTAATAAATCTGAAGAAGTTGTCTTCAATGGTTAAATCTTGTGGTTGCCTTTTCGTACAGTGATATTTAACATAAGGAAAACAACCCGTTCTAAGAATGTGGTAATTCGATTCTCCAACTTTCCAATTAAAGTGTGATTTACCCCATTGATCATCTTCTACGCTATTGTACTGCAACAACAATAAACGTTAATACAACGAAGGAAAAAAATCTAATTAGACGTAGAGTTTAGAAAATTCTACCCATAGTTCATTTATTACGACAAACAACACATCATAGGAATTACAGCATTATATTTCCTCTTCGTCATTTGGAAACGTACAGAGATCCAATATTATTTCTAGCATTTACCCATTTCGCTCAGTAATTATGGTGCAGCTTCTTGATACTTATAGATTATTTAATCAGTTATAATCATTTCTTGTCTGCTCTTTTCCCTCTCTCTACTTTTATTAAAATATACAGTTTCTTTAATATGACAGGCCGAAAACTGCTACAAATGATGAAAATGCCCTTAATGTCCTCTTAGACGCAACAGAAAATCTCAAAACGTCAGTACAACAACGTTTACTAAATTTGTTGATGACACAAATTTCAATGCTTCTGTCAGATTTATGGCCTACAGTTTAGATAAGCTTTCCTCCAATTTAAATAATTCTCAAAAACGCATTACTTTTAAAAATTGTAATAATATGGAAGAATTATGGTTGTTAAATAGATTAGATTGTTACGAAAGAAATCCATACGCCGCCCCGATACGACGCCTATGGGTTCTAGTATGTACGGCGATAATAACTCATCGTCGGTGACGGGGCCGGGCGGCGTTCTCTAAAGAAAAGCCTGGAAGCGGAAGTCTCGATGGGCAATCCAGAAAGATCTCGATTGCAGAACTTCAAGAAGGAAAGTATGGCTTTAAATAGAGGCCACCTTCTGTACATAACCGCTGTAACAGTTAGTCGTGTAAATTTGAATTACAGGGAAATGCATTGTTGAGTTTTACCCGAAACTCATAACAATATAAATTCCTGAGAGAAACTCCTCGACTTATGTTGGCAACAGTGTTTGTTTCTGACTATAAAAAATGTCACAATACTTTTAACGACGCGTTTTACTTTCGACAAATTGACACTAGATATACCGGGGTATTACAAGCTGTTAACTGTTTCCTTCACTTTAATTCAGGTCACACGAATTACAGTTCGTCGTCTGAGAACTTGTTTGATCTACAGACCAGAGCGCACTCAGGCCAATGTCGACTCTAAGCGTTCGGAAACGATTTGATTTATAAGCCATGATCCGTGATCTGATACACATCCTAACCGGTTCCGACCATAATTTCTTGCTGTTTCAACTTTCGAACTCTCTGTTTTTCGAAATTTTAGTTTGGGGACTTTTCAGTTTACTACTATTCAATTTTTGGATTTTACAATTTCTCAATTTTTCAATTTCTCGGTTTTCAGTTTTACGATTTTTAAATATTTAGATTTTTCAACTTTTATGAACTCTATTTATCGATTTTTCGATTAATTGATTTTTCAGGTTTTTTGGTTTTTCAATTTTTCTATTTTTTCAGGTTTCGATTTTTCAACTTCACTTTTTTGATTTTTAGATTTCTCAAGTTTTCAATTTTTTAATTTCTCAGTTTTTGGACATTTTAGTTTTGGGATTTTTCAGTTTACTTGTTATTCAATTTTTCGATCTTACGATTTTGCAGCTTTTTGATTTTTCAATTTTTCGATTTTTTTTGAGGTTTCGATATTTCGACTTCACTTTTTTGATTTTTCGATTTCTCAATTTTTCGATTCTTTAGATTTTTAGTTTTTGGATATTTCAGTTCTGGGATTTTTCTGTTTTTCGATTTGTCAGTTTTTCTTCCATTTTTCAGTTTTTCGATATTTCAGCTTTGGGATTTTTCAATATTTCTGTTCTTCGACTCTTCCATTTTTGACTTCTGGATTTTTCGATGTGTCGACTTTTTACTTTATCGATTTTTAAATTTTAGAGTTCTCAATTTTTTGGTATTTTAATTTTTCAATATTGAAAATTTTAGATTTTTCGATTTCTCGATTTTTCATTTCAGCTCTTCCATATTTCAATTTTTCAAATGTTTCGATTTCTTAATCTTTCGATTTTTCGACTTCCCGATTTTAGATTTTCTGTTTTTCAATTGTCGTTTTTTCAAATTTTCGATTTTTCAATTTTGACATTATTATAAACTGTAAATGTTTCGATTTTTCAATTAATCGATGTTTTGATTTTCCCATTTCTTGACTTTCGAGGGTTTCGACATTCCTGTTCTTCAATTCTTTAATTTTTCGATTTTTCAGGTTTTTGGTTTTTCATTTTTTAGTTTTTTTAACGTTTCGATTTTTTGACTTCACTTTTTGGATTTTTCGATTGCTCAATTTTTCGACTTTTTAGGTTCTCAGTTTTTGGATATTTCAATTTACGGATTTTTCAGGTTTTCCATTTTTCAGTATTTCTTCATTTTTCAGTTTTTCGATATTTCAGTTTTGGGATATTGCAATATTTCGATTCTTCGACTTTTCGATTTTTGGCTTCTGGAGTTTTCGCTGAGTCGATTGTTTTACTTTTTCGATTTTTCAATTTTTCGATTGCTTAATCTTTCGATTTTTCGACTTCCCGGTTTTAGATTTTCTGTTTTCAATTGTCGTTTTAAATTTTCCGATTTTTCGATGTTTTGATTTCCCGATTTAGTTTTCCTTTTTAGTTTTTCTTTCATTTTTCAGTTTTTCGCTATTTCAGTTTTGGGATTTTTCAATATTTCGATTCTTCAACTTTTCGATTTTTGAGTCCTGGATTTTTCGATGTGTCGAATTTTTACTTTTTCGATTTTTAAATTTTAGATTTTTTAATTTTTAAAATTTTAGATTTTTCGATTTCTCGATTTTTAAAATGTTTCGATTTCTTAATCTTTTGATTTTTCGACTTCCCGGTTTTAGATTTTCTGTTTTTCAATTGTCGTTTTTTCAAATTTTCGATTTTTCAATTTTGACATTATAAACTGTCAATGTTTCGATTTTTCAATTAATCGATGTTTTGATTTTCCCATTTCTTGACTTTCGAGGGTTTCGATATTCCTGTTCTTCAATTCTTTAATTTTTCGATTTTTCAGGTTTTTGGTTTTTCATTTTTTAGTTTTTTTAACGTTTCGGGTTTTTGACTTCACTTTTTGGATTTTTCGATTGCTCAATTTTTCGACTTTTTAGGTTCTCAGTTTTTGGATATTTCAGTTTACGGATTTTTCAGGTTTTCCATTTTTTCAGTATTTCTTCATTTTTCAGTATTGGGATTTTGCAATATTTCGATTCTTCGACTTTTCCATTTTTGGCTTCTGGAGTTTTCGCAGTGTCGATTGTTTTACTTTTTCGATTTTTCAATTTTTCGATTGCTTAATCTATCGATTTTTTGACTTCCCGGTTTTAGATTTTCTGTTTTCAATTGTCGTTTTAAAATATCCGATTTTATGATGTTTTGATTTCCTGATTTAGTTTTCCATTTTTAGTTTTTCTTTCATTTTTGAGTTTTTCGCTATTTCAGTTTTGGGATTTTTCATATTTCGATTCTTCAACTTTTCGATTTTTGAGTCCTGAATTTTTCGATGTGTCGATTTCTTTACTTTTTCGATTTTGAAATTTTAGATTTTTTTATTTTTAAAATTTTAAATTTTTCGATTTCAAGATTTTTCATTTCAGTTCTTCGATATTTCAATTTTTGAAATGTTTCGATTTCTTAATTTTTTGATTTTTCGACTTTCCGGTTTTAGATTTTCTGTTTTTCAATTGTCATTTTGTCAAATTTTGGATTTTTTAATTTTTCAAATTTGACTTTTATAAACTCTCAATTTTTCGATTTTTCAATTAATGGATGTTTTGATTTTCCCATTTCTTGACCTTCGAGTGTTTCGATTTTCCTGCTCTTCAATACTTAATTTTTTGATTTTTAGATTTTTCAGTTTTTAGATATTTCAGTTTTAGGATTTTTCAATATTTCAATTCTTCGGCTTTTCTATTTTTGACTTCTGGATTTTTCGATGTGTCTACCTTTTTACTTTTTCGTTTTTTCAATTTTTGGATTTTCAAATTTTAGATTTTTCAATCTTTTGATATTTTAATTTTTCAATATTTCTTAATGTTTCGATTTTTCGATTTCCTGGTTTTAGATGTTCTGTGTTTCAATTTTTCAATTAGTTAATTTTTCATTTCCGACTTATCAAGATTTGATTGTTCAGGTTTTCAATTTTTTATTTTGGCCTATTTCGGTTTCTCAGTTTTGCCAGTTTTCCATTTTTTCGTTTTTTGATTTTTCCACTTTCCAATTTTTCAACTTTTAACTTTTTGTTTGTCGATTTCTCTATTTTTCGATTTTTCGACTTCATCACTTTTCGATTTCTCGTTCTTTTGATCTTTCAATCTCTCAATTTTTCGATATTTTGATTATCAATTTCTCAATTTATAAATTGTTCAATTGTTAACTTTTCGATTTTTCAATTTTGGCCTATTTCGGTTTCTCAAGTGTTCGACTTTTCGACTCCACGATTTCTTGATCTTTTGATTTTTCGATTTCTCGGTGTTTCGATTTTTCAGTTATATGATTTTTCGTTATTCGGTTTTTAAATTTTAGATTTTTGAATTTTACAGTTCTTCGATTTTCTGATGTTTCGGTTTTACGATTTTTTGAGGTTTCGATTTTTCGATTATTAGATTTCCGGATTTTTCGATTATTTTAGTTTTTCATTTTTTATATTCTTAGTTTAAGACGTTTTGCTAGCATAAAACACAAATAAAGAATTAATTCTTAATTAAACAAACAAAATATGTAAAATCAGCTAAATATGTACCAAAAATATTCACTTGGTCGTTATGAAAACCAACCAAACAACTATTTCCCGCAGAAATTATAGCCCAAACCAAATATCCTTGGCCCAAACCAACCAAATCGCTTCTGAACGCTTAAAGTCGACATTGGCCTGAGCGCACTCTGGTCTGTAGATCAAACAAGTTCTCAGGCGACGAGTTGTAGTGAAACAAGTTTATTTATTGGTATCGATTATTTAAATTTGGCGCTTGTCTTTGGCGGTTTATTCGTCCATACTCCGTCATATTAAGTACATATCACTTAAACTCCTAATAAAATAAACATTTATTAAATGGCATAATTTTTAGTTTATGTTAATTTAAGTACGTAGATGTAAACAGCACTTTAAGGGTACTTTTAATATTGTATTTTCAGTTACTTTCACTCTTCAAAAAAATATATGCTATTATCCCTACCGTAATTTAATCTTCTGGCATCTTATAGTTTATCGAGAAGGGTAGAATAAGAACGGAGGGAGCACGTCGTATGCTTTCAATGGTAAAGTTTTGGCCCAAACTTAGTTCGTATTACCACTATCAAATGCCAAAATAAATTTAACATGGTGAGGTGCAAACTTTGTAAGTCGTGGAGGTAAACAGACTTAGTTTTCATAAGTAAGTAACAAATGTATAATTTGAGTAACTTTGCCCCGCCACTGTTTAGCGATACTTTCGAACGTAGGGGCGTGGTTTAGCCGAGCGCGTATTCCAAACACCGTCCGTTCTTATTTTACCTTCCTCCTACTTTATTTTTTTCTTTTACCTTTATAAAGAAAGATGTCCACGGAGGTTCCCTGCACTGCCTTAAATAGCACGTTAACACTGTGGATGCTCGAGGTTTCTTATTACTAAAGCCGCTTATCAAAGGCAATCTCATTATTTACATCACGTTGGAAACACATGTAAAGTACGTATTACATAAACGATGCTGAAACGTAGCTACATAAATATAAAAAATTATAACCCTAGAAAATATGCATTTAAAGGGACTATAAGACTTACAAACTCACAGCGATAGCACACAGCAGCACAGAACAAACTGGCTGACAGCCAAAATCATAGAATAGCCTCACTGATAGCATTTTCTATGGCTAAAATATAGTGACAGAATAGAAAGCTGTATGGAAGATGGACGGTATATCTATACTTATTCAATATCTTTGGTGTAAACTGTCAAACACAAAACAGTAATGTAATCAACTGTCAAAGTCTAAAGTTGTAGGTTAGTGCAAGACTAACCAAAAAACATAAAAAGAAGATGAAATCGATCACATTTTTATTACTATAACTTCATAGTGGCTTCTGGTTTGAAATTGGGCATTCCGTTGAATGCCTGTAAACAATGCCGAGCAGAACTCCACTTATAATTTGCTTCATTGCCTCGTCGACTGCAGCATTTATTTATGTGATAAACAAATGTTTAGCTAAAACACAATTGGTTCAACATGTTCCTGAAGAATACCTTTGGCTACCACATGCTTTAACGAACATTTTAGGATACATGATTGTGTTACTTCCCGGATATTTGACGTACAAGTATGTTCAAAAGGTCAACTATTTAAATTATGGTGGAGAAGGTTTTTGTATGCGTACGATTGGCATTTGCTTTGGTGAAGAAGAATTCATACTGAATCCACAAAGTAAAGTGCAACCAATCCAAAGACCAACTTCTAATGAAATATTTTCAATCGGTTATCATTTTGTTGGCTTGCAAATTTCTTATTTAACTTGGGGAGTTCTTCAAGAAAAGGTAATGACTCAAGAGTATCAAAGTAACAACGCTGGTCCAGAACACTTCAAGGATTCTCAGTTTTTAGTATTTGTAAATAGAGTTCTAGCATTTTTAATGTCTGGTTTATGTATATTAATTTATAAGCAAAATCGACACAGATGTCCTTTATATAAATATGCTTATTGTTCATTATCTAATATTATGAGTTCGTGGTGTCAGTATGAAGCATTGAAATATGTCTCTTTCCCACATCAAGTGCTTGCAAAAGCTGCCAAAACAATTCCTGTAATGATAATGGGAAAAGTAATTTTAAAAGTTAAATATGAATATTATGAATATGTTACTTCTGTCATTTTATCTATAGGAATGTTGATTTTTATGCTTAATGCGGGTAACGACCGTGCACATTCATCAGTTACCACATTTTCAGGCGCAATTCTCTTAGTGTTATATATTACCTGTGATAGTTTCACTTCAAATTGGCAAGGAACGTTATTTAAAACATACAACGTCAGTCCTATTCAAATGATGTGCTTTGTCAACTTTTTTTCCTGTATTTTTACATCTGTTTCGCTATTACAACAAGAAGCTTTTTTAGACTCTCTTGATTTTATGTTTAAATATCCACAGTTTATTTTAGATTGCTTTTTATTGTCCGTTTGTTCAGCTGTCGGGCAATTATTTATTTTTAGTACTATTTCAAAATTTGGCCCATTGGTCTTTGCCATAATAACTACAATACGTCAGGGTTTGTCAATACTGCTAAGTTGTATTATATATAATCATCATCTTAATGTAATAGGAATTTTTGGTATTGCGCTTGTTTTTGTAAGTGTCTTACTACGAATATATTGCGGACAAAGGCTTAAAAAAGTGCAGAAAAGTAATGTTATAAAAACACAGAGAATCTCTGTTTAATCGAAATATTTAATGTGTACAATTGTGATTGTAACAAGAATAAATTGTTTAGTCTCATTTAGCTAAGACTTGTTATGGATACCTATAAACACTTCCAGTACCTTCAAACAACACGTTTTAATTCCCGACTTTCGTTCAAAGTTGAGTCAATTTCATATATTTGAAATTCCAATAACAGTTACAAGGTGACCGACTTTCAAAAATCAAAAAGGAGTACACAACAACTTATGTTGGCAACAGTGTTTGTTTCTAACTAGGAATAAAATTAACTAGAATAATAAGTCTTTTAATCTCTACTGGGAACTTAACACGTTACACCCGGAAGTTAACATCGCGCAAAAATAAAAATTTATGAAAATAAAAAATCCTACCTTTTTGGCTTTTACTTCTGCTACCATTTGTAGCGAATCCCCTCTTCTTCAATTATACGGACCAACTATAAATAAAGAAAAATATAATTTAACAAAATTTAATTTTCATTTTTTAATTGTTCAACAAAGGACAAATTTGTTCAAACCGAACTTTTGAAAAGCCGGAAAATTGTAACACTGAAACAAAAACAAAACAATTAAAAATCGAGAAATTGAAAAATCGACAAAAAGAAACAATTCTGCAATTTTTCGATACAAAATTTTTCAAATTCTCGGTTTTTGTTTCTTCATTTTCTCGATTTGTCATTTTTTAATTGTTCAACAAAAGGACAAATTTATTCAAACCGAAATTTTGAATTGAATTGAAAAAACAAAAAATTGAGAAATCGAAGAATTGAAAAAATATGGAAAACTTAAAAAAACCGACAAAACGAGACTTAAAAACTGAAAAATGAAACTTGAAATATCGAAAAATTTAAAAATTGAAAAATCGAAAAATGAAAAAATTGAGAAATTGAACAATGGGATAATTGAAAAAAATTGGTCTAAAGAGTTTAGACAGTACTTCCCTCGCTGTCGGAAACTTGACGACTGCATGCCTATTGTGGTTTTTTTCTCATTACATTTTTGTAGTGGGAATTTAAAAAAAAAATGCGATGACGTCATCAACATTTTTGCAAGGACACGTATATCAGTTGGGATAGATGTAGTGTAATACTAAGAATAAAATTATTATATTCTCAAGTTTTCGGGAAAATGAATTGGGTCGTTTTGAATATTGATTTGTAATAATCAATAAAATAACGAAACAATTTACTCACGTATACGTATCAGAGACAACTGAAAATCGTGTATGTATAAACATTCTTAATTTAAGATGACAGGCGTAACAGCATACGTGAGAGTCAAACAGAGAAACTGTAAACAAAACGACCATCGGTTTTATTGCTTCGAATTCCGCTTATTATATAAAACATTGGGTTTTATTTTAATTCTTGACGGTGAAATTCACAATTGGTTGATTATAAACATGTCTATTTCACATTCGCGGAACCAAGTGAGCGCATAAAACAAATGCAGGTCTGTAATGTTAAAGTCGATGTAAATAAGCGTGCTACCCTTATGTTTCAACCGAGTTTTTCCTTTAACAAATTTTGTGTCTATCAAATTGGGTTGGTTGGGGTGTAATACTAATAATAAGTGTTGCCTTTAATTTAATCAATAAAATAAATTGACTTCATTAATTTTTTTGAACCACCTCTTAAGAAAATCTAAAAAATATGAATGGAATGATAAATCACAAGTACAAACTCATCATATTTTTTGCATTCTAGATAGGATTTATTCAGCAAAATTTAAGGGTGACGTCGTCAATTTTTTTAGGAGGGATGAACAAATACATTTTGAACAAAAGTTTACCATGCTTATAATAACTTTAAAATATTCCCAAGATTTCAAAGCATTCGGTTTTGTAATTCCTGATTAAATCGATAAAATAAATTCACGCATTCATTAATTTTTTTGAGTCACCCTGCATATGCAAATCCAAAAATATGAATGGAATGATAAATCACAAATACAGACTCATCATATTTTGTACATTTTAGATACGATTTATTCGGCAAACTTTTGAGCTGACGTCATCAGTTTTTTGTAGAAGATAACCAAATATATTTTGACTAAAAATTTATTATGCTCTTTATAACCTTAAAACATCTGCAAGATTTCAAAGCATTCGGTTTTGTAGTTCCTGATTAAATCAATAAAATAAATTTACGCATTCATTAATTTTTTTGAGTCACCCTGTATATGCAAATCGAAAAAATTTGAATGGAATGATAAATCACAAGAAGAGACTCACCATATTTTGTACATTTTAGATAGGATTTATTCAGCAAAATTTTGTGGTGACGTCATAAATTTTTTAGGTGGGACGACCAAATACGTTTTGATCAAAAATTTACCATGCTTATGATAATTTTAAAATATCTTCAAGATTTCGAAGCATTCGGTTTTGTAGTTCCTGAGTAAATCAGTAAAATAAATTTACGCTTTCATTTATTTTCTTGAATCACCCTGTATATGCAAATCCAAAAAATATGAATGGAGTGATAGATCACAAGTACAGACTGATCATATTTTGTACATTTTAGATATGATTTATTCGGCAAATTTTCGAGCTGACGTCATCAAGTTTTTGGAGGGGATAAGCAAATATATTTTGACTAAACATTTATTATGCTCTTTATAACCTTAAAACATCTGCAAGATGTCAGAGCATTCCGTTTTGTAGTTCCTGATTAAATCAATAAAATATATTTACGCATTCATTAATTTTTTTGAGTCACTCTGTATATGCAAATCCAAAAAATATGAATGGAGTGATAAATGACAAGTACAGGCTCATCATATTTTGTACATTTTAGATATGATTTATTCGGCAAACTTTCGAGCTGACGTCATCAAGTTTTTGGAGGGGATAAGCAAATATATTTTGACTTAACATTTATTATGCTCTTTATGACCTTAAAACATCTGCAAGATTTCAGAGCATTCGGTTTTGTAGTTCCTGATTAAATCAATAAAATATATTTAGGCATTCATTAATTTTTTTGAGTCACCCTGTATATGCAAATCCAAAAAATATGAATGGAGTGATAGATCACAAGTACAGACTCATCATATTTTGTACATTTTAGATATGATTTATTCCACAAACTTTTGAGCTGACGTCATCAAGTTTTTGGAGGGGATAAGCAAATATTTTTTGACTAAAGATTTATCATGCTCTTTATAGCCTAAAACATCTGCAACATTTCAAAGCATTCTGGTTAGCAGATTAAAAATTAAATTTCAAAATGTTGTTTTATAATTTTGATTTTTTTTCCAAAAATCTGGACGTTTCGGGTGAAAAGTCGATTCAGAGTTGTAAACTACATGTGTAGGACTATGTTATTTTATACAATTGAAAACCCATTTACTATGTACTATTTTGAAGTGACGTCATCGCATTAGTGGTGGGGATGATTAGACAAATTTTGGTTAGCGTTTTACCATCTACATGATATTCTTAATATAAGTACAAAATTTCACAACAATCGGTCGAGTACTTTCGGAGATTATCTGTCTAATAAAAATCCGCGGGCAGACGGACAGACGGACAGACGGACGGACAGACGGACGGACAGACGGACGGACAGACGGACGGACAGACGGACAGACAGACGGAAATGGGAGACCTATTTCTTCGTCTTCTAGGGGTCATGAAAGATCGAGAAAACGAAAAAGTAGAGAGTCGGCCGACGGACTCGATTACAATACTTCCTTTGCTTACGCTCGGGAAGTAAAAAACAATTGAAAAATCGAAAAATTGTAATATAGAAACCTGAAAACTCTGATTAATTAAAACTCGAGAAAGTGAAAAATTGAAAAAACAAAAAACAAAAACTTCTATAAATTAAACAATCAAAAATACAAAAAAAAAATTCAAAATACAAAAATTTTAAAATGAAAACCGGAAAACTAAAAAATTAAGAAATTGTAAACATCGAAAAAACGCAACACTGAAAAAAAGAAAAATTTTAAAGTTGAGAAATCGAAGAATGGAAAAAATACAGAAACTGAAGATTCGGAAAATGGAAAAGCCAAAACTTGAATAATAAAAATCCCAATAATTATTTGAAAAAAGTGAAAAATTAAAAATCGGCAAATTTAAAAATGAAACATTTACAAAATTGTAAATTTGAAAAAAAAAATAAAAATGGAAAAATTGAAGAAATGAAAAATTGAAAATCGAAAATTGAAAAACCAAACCTGAAATATCGAAAAATTGAAAAAATTGGCAAACTGAAAATTGGGTAACGAAAAAACAATTATAAAATGGAACAACTGAGAAAAAGATAGAAACTGTAAAATCGAAAATTTGTAACATTGAAACCTGAAGAAGTAATAAATTAAAAATCTAGGAATTGAAAAATCGAAAACACGAAAAATTGTAAAATTCGGCAGATAGAAAATCGAAAAGTTAAAAAGCAAATTAGAAAATCGAAAAATTAAAATATCTACAAATTAAAAAAATCGAAAAATACAAAAATTTTACTGAAAATGAAACAATTTCATAATGAAAATCAATTAAGAAAACAAAAAATATAAAAATCTCAAATTGAGAAATCAAAAAATCGAAGATACAAAATAATTTGGAATTACCTACTTGGAAGTATGATGTACTTAAATAATTTTTAATTTTTTCTTTTCTCAATTTTTCGTTTTTTAATTTTTCAACAAAAATTCAATTTTCATTTTTTAATTGTTCAACAAATGACAAATTTGTTCAAACTGAACTTTTGAAAAGCCGGAAAATTGTAACACTGAAACAAAAACAAAACAATTAAAAATCGAGAAATTGAAAAATCGACAAAAAGAAACAATTCTGCAATTTTTCGATACAAAATTTTTCAAATTCTCGGTTTTTATTTCTTCATTTTCTCGATTTGTCATTTTTTAATTGTTCAACAAAAGGACAAATTTATTTAAACCGAAATTTTGAATTGAATTGAAAAAACAAAAAATTGAGAAATCGAAGAATTGAAAAAATATGGAAAACTTAAAAAAACCGACAAAATGAGACTTAAAAACTGAAAAATGAAACTTGAAATATCGAAAAATTTAAAAATTGAAAAATCGAAAAATGAAAAAATTGAGAAATTGAACAATGGGATAATTGAAAAAAAACAATTGAAAAATCGGAAAATTGTAATATAGAAACCTGAAAACTCTGATTAATTAAAACTCGAGAAAGTGAAAAATTGAAAAAACAAAAAACAAAAACTTCTATAAATTAAACAATCAAAAATACAAAAAAAAAAAATTCAAAATTCAAAAATTTTAAAATGAAAACCGGAAAACTAAAAAATTAAGAAATTGTAAACATCGAAAAAACGCAACACTGAAAAAAAGAAAAATTTTAAAGTTGAGAAATCGAAGAATGGAAAAAATACAGAAACTGAAAAATCGGAAAATGGAAAAGCCAAAACTTGAATAATAAAAATCCCAATAATTATTTGAAAAAAGTGAAAAATTAAAAATCGGCAAATTTAAAAATGAAACATTTACAAAATTGTAAATTTGAAAAAAAAAAAATAAAATAAAAATGGAAAAATTGAAGAAATGAAAAATTGAAAATCGAAAATTGAAAAACCAAACCTGAAATATCGAAAAATTGAAAAAATTGGCAAACTGAAAATTGGGTAACGAAAAAACAATTATAAAATGGAACAACTGAGAAAAAGATAGAAAATGTAAAATCGAAAATTTGTAACATTGAAACCTGAAAAAGTGATAAATTAAAAATCTAGGAATTGAAAAATCGAAAACACGAAAAATTGTAAAATTTCGGCATAGAAAATGGAAAAATTAAAATATCTACAAATTAAAAAATCGAAAAATACAAAAATTTTACTGAAAAATGCAACAACTTCATAATGAAAATCGAAAAACTAAAAAATGGAGAAATCGAAACACGGAAAATTCGAAAAGTTATCAATTAAGAAAACAAAAAATATAAAAATCTCAAACTGAGAAATCAAAAAATCGAAGAAACAAAATAATTTGGAATTACCTACTTGGAAGTATGTACTTTATTTTTAATTTTTTATTTTCTGAATTTTTTGTTTTTTAATTTTTCAACAAAATGACAAATTTATTAAAACTGAAATTTTAAAAAATCAAAAAATCGAAAAATTGTAACAGTGAAAAATAAAAAAATTAAAAACTGAAAAATCGAAAAAGAAACACTGAAAAACCCAACAATTTAAAAATTGAGAAATCGAAGAACTGCAAAAATAAAGAAACTCAACGAATAATTAAGAGGTTAACAATTGGAAAAGGAAAAATCGTAACCTTAAAAATGAAAAAACAGAAAAATCGAACAATTGCAAAATTGAAAATCAAAAATAGAAAAAACGAAACTTGAAACACCGAGAAATTTAAAAATTATAATCTTAAAACTTGAGCAACTGAAAACTTCGATAATTGAAAAAACAACTGAAAATTTGAAAAATTGAAAAAAAAAGAAACTGTAAAATCGAAAAATAAAAAAATACGGAAAACAAAATTTTCTAGAAATAGAAAAATCGGCAAATTGTAAAATTCAAAAGTTGAAGAATATCAAAATAAACATCGAAAAATTGTAAAATGAAAAAATCAAAAACTGAACAATTGAAAAAAATGAAACATTGAACAAAAAACAAAATTGAAATACCGAAATGTAAAAAATAGCGAACGTAAAAAATCGGATAACGAAAAAATCAAGAATTGAAAAATCAAAAAATACAAATATCTTAAAATGGAAAAATCGAGAAAACGAAAAACTGTCAATTCTAAAAATTATAACATTGAAACCTGAAAAAACTGACGAAATAAAAAACGAGAAACTCAAAAATCGACAACAAAAAATTAAAAAATGTTCGACTTTGGGCTACTTTGAATTTAGCTCCGATGTACTTTGTTGTGATTGGTCGACACGGGTGCGGAAATTAATATATGCTATGGTTTTCAACTTGAGTAATGTCAAAGGCGTCAAAGGTGTCAAAATGGTGTCAAATCAACATAGGACCTTGGACACATCCCACTAATAATAAAAGTTATATAATTAATGTAAAACATTGCTAGAGTAAGCTAATAAGACTGAATATCAGTGATAATTTTATAAATAAAAAGCGTCCATAAAAAATAGAAGAACGTCGTCCATCTATTCTTCGTTATTTAAAAACTGGCAAGTCGCATTTTTCTACAGGTTTTATTTTTCACAGTAAACTGTACGCACACAGGTTTTGACCTTAAAGCCCCAACCCCAAAGCATAATCCAAATTGACAACTGCTTGAGCGAACAATAAAAACACGATCAAAGGCGGCCATGGATTTTTGAAAATTTGTCGTTGACACAATTTTTGCCTTGTCTTGTCATGCTGTCAGAAGAGTCGCGTCAGTTTGAAAGTTTGAGGTTAAAATAGTTTAATACTTCAAAAGTGATTTTTAGAATGCAGACTATTATGTTAAAGGGTGTAATGACAGAAAGTAATAACAAAGTGGCTCTTATTGGTTACTCGTGTCTCCCGTGCATACAGATTGCACCTATAATCCATAAAATTTGAACTTGTTTTTTCTTTCAGGCGTTATGGAGCAGGTATCGACGATACATGAGGCAGTGAAACCGCTCTCGTGGTTGATAGGAAGATGGAGATCCGTAAATGCTGAAGCCACCTATCCCACTATGGCACCTTTTAATTATTGTGAAGAAATATCATTTGAAACTTTAGGTCAACCATTGTTGAACTATACTTCGAAAACTTGGCATCCACTTACACACAAACCAATGCATTTGGAATCAGGATTTTTAAGAATTAAACCGGGGACAAATGAAATTGCGTTTATGGTGGCACATAATTTTGGCTTAACTAGTTTAGAAGAAGGAACAGTTCATTCTAACGAAGTAATATTTAAATCAAAACAAATCACCAGGATGACATTTGCTAGTGACCCAGCAGTCTTAGCTATTGAACGATGTTTTAAATTAAAGGATAACGGTAATTTGGAAGTAAGTGTTTCGATGGAAACGACTAAAACTCCTCTTACCCACCATTTGAAAAGTGAACTGCAGAAAGTATGAATTACAATGTTTATACCATGTATAGATGTGGTTCAATAAAACGAAAATGATCTTTGTTAAATTCTATTGGTATTATGACAATTATACATCAAATAGTAAAATGCTGGATATTTTAGATAGGTTTTACATTTTAAGAGTTCGAATATTCATTAATACATAATTTTATAATGTATAAATCATTTAAACTACACCTATATGATATGTACATTATTTGCTTTGTTTGTAATGCAGAAAAAACGAAATTAACTTAAATCTATCGCATCCTATCAAATAACAGGGTTTCGATTTCGAATAAAATATGAACTTTTAAAACATTTTAAACAACAAAAGTAACAATCTAACGTCAAATACGATGATGTTGTTGATGTAACGAGTTCTTGAGTAATACTAGACACTGATAACATTTCAGGAACTCTGATAAATACTTCAAAACAAGATTTACCACAGACACAATATTTAGCGTAATCTAAATAATGAACAAGCGTATAAGGAATAATTGCCGGAGAATACGTTAATCTTAATTCTAAAATTCTTCTAGCTGCACATTCTTTAAGTGAGTACACTGGTAAATTGTTAGGAACTGAAACTACAACATTGTTTTGCCGCGTTGATGTAAAGCTATTATTACATAAATTTAAAAGCTGTAAATGGCACTTTTTGATGCTGCCTGGTAAAACAGAGAGAGAATTGTTTGATGCTATTAAAATTTTTAAATTTTTCAAACTTCCAATACCGTGAGTTATGAACGTTAATTGATTATTATTAACATTCAAAGTGATTAAATTGCGAAGTTTCACAATTTGATCAGAAAGGTATGTCAGTTTGTTTGATTCTATGTTCAACAAGGTCAAAGATGTGGATAAATTACCTCCCATCCATGTCCATTGTTTTGGGTTTGATTTATACAAATTGTTCGAGCCCAAATTCAATTCGCTTAAATGTAAAACATTTAGCTCTTCAGGAATAAATTCAATACAATTATTGCTTAAATCCAATATTTTCAACTTACAAAGTTGTAAAATACCTTTATCAACAGAATATTTACTTATGTCGTTAATATATAACAATTCAAGTGTTCGTGGCAGTCCTCGGATCGGATACTCAGATCTCTTTCTGATCACTAATTTTTTTGGTGCGATGTCCTTGGTAGTCACAGGCATGACAGACATACTTGAATACGTTAGTTCCTTTGGCGATACTTTATTTTCTAAAACTCGTTTAAGTAAATGTAGGAATCCCTTTAGTTGAATAACATCACCCTGGACGTATAAATCATGAGGGGGCATCTTGAACTGAATTGTGGCTTTTCCATCGTTTATAAAACGTGTCAGTATCTGACTAACGTTTCCTTTGATATTATACTTTGTTCCAGTCTTGTTTTGATTTGTGAAGTGAATGATGCAGTAGTCTTCAGAATTTGGACGTTTACACAATGCTAGTGTTGATTTGACATGTTTTTGTTTCGAATTTATTGCCAAATTCGATAACTGTCGATTACCCACAGAAACACTGCACACAAGTTTCATCGTTACACGCGCTGCGACTCTTCGAAGATGTTTATGTTTACATCGTTAGTTCAAATCTAACCTACATTTATAATGTTACCGCCATCTGATGTTTGTCTATTATCTGTCAAAAGAAACGAAACGATTGCCGCGCCCTCTGGAAAGGAAAACTGAAGAACTACGTTTGTTACCAGGGTTGTATTCGCCGCAATTTACTCAATGCTTTCTGGGAAAGCAAAAGGGCGTGCGATAATCTGCCATCGCTGATGATAAGGAAAGAGAAGGATGTAATATGTACAGAGTCATCAAAATTGATTGAGAGAGTTGGTAAACCTGAACTTGAATAATTTGGTTTATTAAGTTGTATAAAAATATTAGCTGTCAGATTTGAAGTTTCAAGTTTCAAATTTCAAAACTCAGTGGCGTCTTTTTTCGACTTTTTTTTGGTAAAAACATTAGTTGTCAGATTTGAAGTTTCTAATTTTTGTCACGCCACTGAATTCATTGCCATATAACCTTAAACAAATCTGTCATAAGGTTGACAAACTTCACGACAAAAACAGGGGGTACCAACTCTCTCAATCAATTTTGATGACCCTGTACATATTACATCCTTCTCTTGCCTTTTTTTCTTAATATACTTAGTATTCTTTGAACAACACGATACTCAAAACATATTTTTAATTTCTCCTAGAGAAATAAGGATTTTGCAGTTAAACTCCGCCCTCTTGACTCACGACTAATAAAAAAATCATCACAATTGAGATAGGGTGGGTGGGTGGGGCTTATATTTTGCCTTTTTTTGTCTTAACATCCGTAGCCATCTTTTCCCAAGAAGAAACTTCAAACATGGTAAAAATTGTACATTTTTGCAAAGAAATATGAATTTTGGAATTATGAAACGGAGCTTAATTTCAAAATCGATATTTGCTTATACAAATTTTCCATTTTAAACATGTTTTAAATTTCATGTTGTGAAAAGAAGTCTACACATACTAAAACAAAAAGGAAATATATGAGCCCCGCCCACCCACCCCATTTCAATCGGGATGATTTTTTTTTATTCGTCGTGGACCAAGAGGGCGGAGCTTAACTGCAAAACACTTATTTCTTTACAAGAAATTAACAACATATTTTTGCGTATCGTGTTCAAAGAATACTATGTAGATTAAGAAAACAAGGAAAATATAAACCCCGCCCACCCACCCCGTCTCAATTGTGATGATTTTTTTATTCTCAGAAACTTAAAACGCGTTTAAAATGGTAATTTTTTTTTAAGCAAATATGGATTTTTCAATTAGACTCCGCCCCTAGGTCTACCAACGAACAAAAACTTCATTACTGTTTAGTGCTGCTTAATCTTTTGCTTTAATTTTTTCTTAATATACTTAGTATTCTTTGAACAACACGACCTCAAAAACATATTTTTATTAAGTACTTGTAGAGAAATAAGAATTTTGCAGTAAAGCTCCGCCCTCTTGGCTCACGACGAATAAAAAAATCATCACAATTGAGATAGGGTGGGTGGGCGGGGCTTATATTTTGCCTTTTTTTCTTAATATACTTAGTATTCTTTGAACTACACGATACTCAAAACATATTTTTAATTTCTCGTAGAGAAATAAGGATTTTGCAGTTAAGCTCCGCCCTCTTGACTCACGACGAATAAAAAAATCATCACAATTGAGATAGGGTGGGTGGGTGGGGCTTATATAAGTTTTGCATTTTTTTCTTCTTAATATGCATAGTCTTCTTTTCACAACAAGAAACTGACAACATGTTTAAAATGGTGAATTTTATCCTCTACTTCTCTAAACATTTACCATTTTTAATAAACATATTTTTAGTTTCTTGTCATGAAAATAAAGTATATACATATATTAAGAAACAAAGTCAAAATACAAACCCCGCCCACCCGCCCTCATCCCAATTCTGATAAATTTTCTTATTCGTCGTGAGCCGAGGGGCGGAGATTAATTGCAAAATGCTTATTTCTCTACAAAAATCTTCCCTGTGAAACATGTTTTTAAGTATTGAAAGAAAACTATATATGTCAAGAACAAAGGTCAAAAAATAAGCCCCACCCACCCGCCCCAACGTCAAATGTGATGAATTTTTCATTTATTGTCAGACCGAGGGGAGGAGCTTAATTGTAAAATCAGTAATTCCCAACAAAAATTTACCATTTTCAATATGTTATAATTATCTTGTGAAAAGAAGATTAGGTATCTACAGTCGAAAGACAACTTTTGCAATTAAGCTCCGCCCCACCTGGCTCACAACGAATGGGGGAAAATCGTCACAATTGAGTTAGGGTGGGTGGGTGGGGCTTACGTTTTGCTTTTTTTTTCTTCTTAACAAGCATAGTTTTCTTTTCACAACAAGAAACTGAAAATATATACATATATTTGTTAATGAGTTGTTGATGGAAATGAAATTTTAATAAGAGTGTTAATTTTATATTGGAACAGTTGCTATGTAAAAAAATATAATAATTAATAATAATTATTATAAATAAATGATTAACAAAAGTTAATTTTCCAATTTTCTAATAAAAAGAAGTAAAAGTAAAAACCAGAAATCACAACAGGTTATGGGCCCAGAGTACTCGCAAGTATCCCAAGCAGCAGACTGTCGTCTAATTCACGTCAATTTTTGGTCATAACTCGTCGGCGACGTCATTCGCCCAAAAAATCACGTGATAATGACGAGATTTTTATGACTTACTTCTGACGTCAATTAATGACGTCAAAAGGCCGTCTTTTTTTCGTCATTTTTTATAGATTATATGATCAATTAGATGTGGGTGGTCGTATTCTTTAAAAAGTGGCCTTCATAATGCTTAATTATATTTAGAGCAAAAAATACAACGGCTTTATTAGAAATACACCAAACACAAGTTTTTTCATTCTAATAATTTCTAATAAAATAATTAATTTCTGAAAATTTGTTTACTCTGGAAATGTTATTTTGTAAGTACCTGCTTGGCAAATTATAAATAGAACATCCGGGGTTGACCGTATAATAGTGAAAGGACCCTAGGAAATTCTTTGTCTGTTGTCCCTACAACGGGACAAGATTTTGAAGAATTCCTTCGTCGAATTTTGATTTTATAAAGACGTTTATAAAGTGATGATGGTTACCAAAAAAATTAGAAAGTGATTTAATATTTAGTTTTATTAAATTTATTTCATCGCATGAAAAAATAATGCTTAACTTCCGTATTTACTATACAATACATCAGATGTTTGAGGCGTGCATTCGGACTTTCCCTTTTTTCGGTATTTATGTTTATTGCACTTCACAGTGACTCATTCCAATATTTCCAGTTGGGTCTCAAACACCGAAGCTTTCTTGTGTATCCGTTACTCACTTCATTTTTAACACAGTTTTGTGAAAATTTCTGCCATTCAGAGTCGGGTTGTACTTATTTACACTAGGTAAGTTAAAATCTAATAAAGTAATCATTTTAATTTTTACGTGTTTCTGTTATTTTTGATAACTGTACGTAGATAACAAAAGCAGTTTTTTCAGATAAGCTGGAAAGACCACCATTAATCACTGAAGATACTCCCACTAATTATGAAGAACTTACGGTGATTGTTTTTGAAAATGAGGCGCCATAAAATATTGCAAAGGTATGTTACTGCAAATTTTTATGAACTAATGCTAATGAACATAATTTTATTCTAGATTTGAAACAAATACAAAACACATGTGCGAAACGAAAGAAATGCTAAAGGAAACGAGTGAAAAAATCTCTAACATGAAAACGTCATCAAATCTGACAATTGAAAAAGAAAACAAAAATAGAAGTTATGCCGCCAAGACCACACCTAAACAAATTTTGACGAATTACAAGATTATTTTTGCCTATTAGAACAAGCAGATTTCTTTGTAAGTTAAAAAAATACAATGAATTCATATATACATATATAACATATAACATTGGATATTATATACAGGTAGATGCCTGTAACACCACGATACTTTTTGGTAACTTACTATACATGGCACATTTCGCTTCATTGTAAAAAATTATTGACAACGAAATTTTCCTGATAGGGTATGCGTTTTTGTCAATGCAACCATTTTACGATTATCCGTTAAATTCAAGTAAATTTAGCACTTTTAAAACGCAGAATTTGTCTTCTGCTTTAAGCTGTAATCCTTTAAATTTAATAATAGCCAAATGCTTGCTGTTGCCCATAGACGAAAAAATTATTGCATTTCCATTAATCCATGTACTCTAACGGTTTTTTTTTTCAGTGCAATAAATTGAAGCAAACTTAAAAAACTTTGGTTATTAATATGATTGTTAAAACAGAATTAATTCTTAACGGTACTTTTTTGTGTGTTGGGGACAGTCAAGTCGTCGTGAATTAGAAAGTTTTACAGTGCATTTTCAAATCAAGTAACTATAACAATGCGATTCAATTATCTTTTCCATTTATTCTAGTTTTTTTTTAAATATTTTTTGTAAATAGATTTGTTTGTGTTTTTAAGACTGATTTATAATTTATTATAGTTTGCTTTTAATATTCTTTGTAACTAAATAGATATCTTTGTGTTTTTAAAACTGATTTTTCTTTAAATAGCATATTTTATTGCAACGTTTATTTTTGATTGTATATTATATATTATCCTTTTTTTTTGTTTATACCAATTATACTCGTAATTACCTGTATGTAGATTTGTTTATGTTCTTAGGAGTGGTTTGTTTAATTGACATATATTTTTTTATTTGTTTATTGAAGTTCATTGTTGGTTGTACATACAGAATTGAAGTAAATTTAATTTTGTACACTAATTTGTTTTAACTTTAATTAATATATATTTTGTTTTGGGGTTTACCTGGTGATTATAACGAATTACAATATTTTATTTAAGGTAAAAAATATAAAAATATAAAATTATATCAGCGTTTTATTTATTGCATATTTTTTTCTAAAAATCAAAATATAAAAAACGTCTTAAAATGGACAATAAATGCCGTCTCTAAGACGTCAGTGCATCACGTCAATAGTTCGTCACAAAATGACGACTCTAAGACGTCAGTACATCACGTCAATAGTTCGTTAGAAAATGACGTCATCTGGACGAGACATTTGACCGTCATTGGTACGTCAATATCACGTGAAGTCTTTGGTCACTATGACGTAATTGATGACCATTTATTCACGTGAAAAAGACGACATCATGTTGCCTCGGTACTGAGGCAGTAAAGCTAGAAGAAGAAATTTTAGAACCTTAACGAGAGAAATAAAACTCGAAAAGGAAGAAAACGTATTTGACAGTGACATAAGAAGAAAAAAAAAAACAAAAATAATGGCGTTGACAGAAGAGGTGAATTTAATAGAAAAGCTCAAAGATGAAACCACGTATCAGTTGTGGAAATTTCAAATAGTAGTAACATTTAAGGCTTATGATCTGTTTGGAATAGTAAATGGAGACAAGCTTCTATCTAGTGTGGAAAAGGAGGAAGATAAAACTAAATGGGTGAGAAATGATGCAAAAGCGCAAAAACTAATTGTGACGTCAATAGACAAAAAGTACATGATGCACATTATGGACTGCACCACCTCCAAAGAAATGTTCGAAAAAATCAAAAATATTTTTGAAAGAAGCACTTCAGAACAAATCTGTAATTTGCTGCAAGAATTCTACAGCTACACATTTGGAAAAGGTACTGATATGGCTACTCACATTAGCAAAATAGAGAGTATTGCACACAAATTAAAAAGTCTAAATCAAACAGTTGATGACAACATGTTAATGTCAAAAATACTGTCATCTTTACCTCAAAGTTATGGTTTCTTCAGGACTGCCTGGGAATCTACTCAAGATAATGAGAAAACCTTACCAAAATTGATAGCAAGACTACTATCCGAAGAAAACCGTAGCAAGGAAAGTGAGAGAGATATTGCATTTAAAAGTTCAGAGAGATTTTGTAAACATTGTAAAAGTAGTTCGCATGATACAAGATTTTGCCGAAAATGGAAAGAAAAGGGTGCTGGCGAAGTAAAATGTTTTAAGTGTGGGTGCTTTGGACATATTGCAAATAACTGTCCCAAAAAGACAAATAACCAATGCAAGATTTGCAAGAAAACAAACCATAAAGAGCAAGACTGTTTCTTTAGAGATAAGACAAAATCATTAGAAAAAAAGAAGATAGCCTTTCTTACAGAAGACAAAAGACTGACAACGCAAGATTTTATAGTTGATTCAGGATGTTCATCCCACATGGTCAACTCGAAAGTGATGTTTACAGCATTAGAAAATATCGAAAGTAGCATACAAGTTGCAAAGAAGAATGAAAAAATGAAGGCAGAAGGGAAAGGAACAGTTGAAGGAAGTTCATGTATACTGAATGATGTACTTTTTGTACCCGAATTAAGCAAAAATCTACTGTCAGTTAATGCTATAATAGAGAATGATGGTGAAGTAACATTTACTAAAGAAAAGGTAGTAATAAAGAAAAACAATGAAAAAATACTTGAAGGAAAAAAAATTGAAAGTGGTTTATATATGGTTAGTATAAATCAAAGTAAGGAAGAGAGTTATCTTGCAGAAAATACTTCAGTAAAAGACTGGCATAGAAAGCTAGGACATTTGGGAACAAAGAATATAAAAAGATTAATAGATCTATCGACAGGCATGAAACTGAATAAAAAGAAGTGTCAAATGGGTTTCTGTGAAGTCTGCATGGAAGCAAAGCAAACAAGACTCCCGTTTAATACAACGAGACAGAGGGCAAGAAGACCACTAGAAATTCTACATACAGATGTATGCGGCCCAATCGATCCTGAAACTTGGGATGGAAAACGATACATTTTAACAGTGTTAGATGATTATACTCATTATTGTAGAATTTTTCTATTGAAGTATAAGAGTGAAGTATCAGAACATTTAAAAGATTTTATTAGAGAAGCAGAAGCTTATCATAATCAAAAGGTGGTAAAAATACGTTGTGACAATGGTGGTGAATATACGTCATCGAATTTTAAACTCTGGACAAAAAATAAAGGCATTGTTCTGGATTATTCTATACCCCATAGTCCACAACTAAATGGAAAAGCAGAAAGATTAAATAGAACCTTATTGGAAAAGGCAAGAGCGATGATATTTGACAGCAAGCTAAGTAAAGATTTTTGGGGCGAAGCTGCGTATGTAGCAGCGTATCTGTTAAATCGAAGTCCTACAGAAGCAATAGACAAAACACCAATAGAATACTGGACCAAAATGAAACCTGATCTGTCCAGATTACAAATATTTGGTTCTGTAGCATATGCAAAGACACTGGGAAATTTACACAAACTTGACCCTAGAAGTAAAAGGTATCTTTTTGTAGGATATGCACCAAATGATTACCGCTTATGGGATGAAAAATCTAAGGAAATAAAAATACACCGAGATGTTATCTTCAATGAACCAGGTAGTCAATCTTTGGCTGATTACAGAAGAACAAGCAAAATAAATGTTATAGAAAGCGACGAAGAAAATCAGGAACAGAATGCAGAACTAGAAGAAAACAATACAGGTGAAAATTCAGAAACCGAAACTGAAAATGAACAAGACATTAGACAAAAACCAAATCAAATAGAAGTACAAAATATAATTTTGGGAGAAGGAGAAGGCATCACAGAATCAAGAAGAGGAGAAGGTATCACAGAATCAAGAAGAGGAGAAGGCATCGCAGAAACAAGAAGTGGAAGAAAATTAAAACAATCTGTAAAACTTAAAGATTATATTGTAAACTTTGTTGAAGAAGAAGCGTTATTGACTTATGAAGAAGCAGTCAAGGGACCAGAAAAGGACAAATGGCTTGAGGCTATACGTGAAGAAAAAGAATCTCTGAATAAAAATCTTACATGGAGTTACGTGAATATAAATGAAGTAGACAAACATCGCATTCTGACAAGCAAGTGGGTATTCAAAGTTAAAGATAATGGAAAATATAGAGCAAGGTTGGTAGTAAGAGGGTGCCAACAACATAAGGGAATAGATTACAACGAAACATTCAGTCCAGTTGTGAACATAAGCTCAGTAAGAATAATGTTAGCACTGGCTGCCAAGTATAATATGTCAGTTACCAAATTTGACGTAAAAACAGCATTTTTGTATGGAAGTATTTCAGAAGAAATTTTTATGCATGTACCAGAGGGGTTCAAATGTGAACAAACTGAAAACAAAGTGTGTAAATTGTCGAAATCGCTATATGGCCTAAAACAAGCTCCTATGAAATGGAATGAACGTTTTACTACATCTTTAAAACTGAATGGTTTAAAACCACTGATTAGTGATCAATGTTTATTTACGAATATAGAAAAGACCATGTTATTAGCAATCTTTGTAGATGACGGATTATTGATCAGCAAATGTGAAGAAGAAATGAAATCGTTATTGAAAAATCTTCAAACCGAATTTGAAATGACAAGTGAAAAAAATCCTAATAGGTTTTTAGGAATTAATATTCAAAAACATGATGGAAAAGTTATACTTTCACAACAAGATTATGTACAAGCAACTTTAGAAAAATTTAATATGCAAAACTCCAAACCTGTACCTACGCCCATGGTCAAACAAGATATAAGTTCAGAAGATAAAATGGTAAAAATTAATTATCCAGTCAGAGAAGCTGTTGGAAGTTTATTATATTTAAACAACAAGACCAGACCAGACATATCATATGCAGTGAATTACTGTAGTAGAAAAATGGAAAATTTTTCAAATCAAGACATTGTAACAGTAAAAAGAGTGTTTCGCTATTTGATATCTACAAAAAATGATGGACTGTGCTACGATGGCCAAAACAGTGAGAGATTGATTGCCTATTGTGATTCAGATTTTGCAGGGGACACTGAAACACGCAGAAGTACAACAGGGTACATAATATTTTTTTTGTGGTGGACCCATATCGTGGTGTTCCAGGAAACAGCCAATAGTTTCACTTTCAAGCACAGAAGCTGAGTATATATCTGCTGCAGAATGTGTTAAAGAACTTCTTTACCTCAAATCTCTAATTGATGAACTTACCAATGGTGAAGTGAAGATAGATTTGTACGTTGATAATCAGAGTGCAATCTCAATAGTGAAAACCGGACAGTTCAATCGACGGAGTAAGCACATAGATGTAAGATTTCATTTTATAAATGAAAAGGTGCGAGAAGGTATTATAAACATAAAGTATTGTTCAACTGAAAAACAAATCGCCGACATATTTACCAAACCTCTTGGAAACATTAAATTTGAAAACCTGAAAGAACAATTTATGTCAAGCATCAATTAATAAAATTTGGAGAAGGTGTTAATGAGTTGTTGATGGAAATGAAATTTTAATAAGAGTGTTAATTTTATATTGGAACAGTTGCTATGTAAAAAAATATAATAATTAATAATTATTATTATAAATAAATGATTAACAAAAGTTAATTTTC